TTGAATTAGCTATGGTCCCAGCACCTCTCCTTACAACAATAGCAGCACTTGGGAGCCACCAGCAAAGAAGGGAATCCTACAGCTGTGTTCTTTTGCCTTATCATACCCTACAGCCCCTTCTGACTTTATGTGCATGCAAATATACTTGTGATGCTCTTCCATTGGTGAGCTTTCCCCAATACACTCTACTTCGCTTTATTCTTTTATTAAGGTAAACATTTATCCACAGAGGGACTTGTTAAAACAAACTCCAGTGTGTAGCTCTGCACTCCATCATAAGCGCACTACTTCAGGGACATGGATGTCGGCAGGAGGCCAAGAAATCAATAGGCTGCACTCCGTCTCAGGACTGCTGCACAGCACGAGTGATGCAGTAGGGGATGCTCTTTGCCAGTTAATTCTCTGAGGTTGTAGCAACATAGGTTTGTTAGTATATGAAGTACCCACTACATTTGTACTAGCTACAAGTAGCTTGTAACTAATGCTGTAAAGAGGCATCTGTGTTTTAATTAACGAGCCTGAAGCTAGGGAGAGAAAGGGGGAGTGCTGCTTTATCCACATTGCTCCTAGAGTGGAGGGAGCTGCAAGCACTCATCTGAGCTCTGTTGAATCCTAGGAGCATATTAAATAAACCACATATTTAAGTTTTCCAGCTGGAAAAGGGCTCAGGTGTAAGCAAAACCAGAAATTGCTTTAAGACAGTACATCAGAAGTTTACTATTTGCATGTAAAGCAACACCCTCCCTCCCACTCAAGAACTTAAGGAGAAGATAAGTGGTTCAGCATAGGTGCCATGTAGTACTAAAGCTCTTCCAAACAACTAGCCAGTTACTCCTCCCAGCTCTGGTACATATTGCCCTTTGATAAAAGGGAAAACAGAGGCACATGGCAGGGTTAAAGTCCAGGAGGCACAGGCTTCTGTCTTATCTGTTTATATCTCTGCACAGACAGCTGGGATACTAGAGTAGCAGCACCTGATGAGGAAGAGTTTTGCAGTGAAAACTTCAGAGCAGATCACACAGATTCATGTACTTGAAGTAAGGTGGCACTTTAAGTTGAGACACACAATCCCCACACAAAAAGCCTTGGCACTAGTTGACAGTGGGCTGGTTAACCATTTAACTAGTTAACATTTGAAATGTGATTTTACAGGCCTAGTACCAAGTCAGCATGGTACCATGCTCCACCCACATTGCACAGGTGTGATGTCACAAGGGGTGAAACCCTGGAGAAGCCGGCCCTATGGCTCTGATATTCTGTCCTCTACCAACTGGGAAATCATTGGCAACCCCAAGGGTGTGACAGGAGTAATGCAGATATGGAATATAAGGAATTCCCTATGGACTGTGAGAAGCAACAAAGAGGTTCAAAAAAGCAGGGGGGGGGGGAGATTTTTGTGGTTAAGGAAGAGGAAAAATGTGAGTCAGAGCTGCACTCTGGGGCCATTGCACCCAAAGTAGTTCATGTACCTTCAGAACCTTAATCCCAGATGAGGGAGTCTCCCCTTCTGCTTCTATCCAACATCCCCCCAGCTGCTGAGTATCACCAGCCACTGGTCCCAAGGCTCTGCTCCCAGCTCCGCTCTCTGGTTTGGCAACATTTGTTTTTTCCTTGTGAGGGCTTGCAGCTCAGAAGCACCATCATGGCTCCCCGGTGATGCCAGCCCACACATTGCCAGCCCACAGAGGTTCAACCTGTAGTTGTGACTAGGCTCCTTTAAATGCAATAACCCTTAGCATGCAGAACGGAGATGAAGATTATTTCGGAGGCAAATGACTACAGTACTGTTCTTAGGGCATGCTTGAGGAATGGCTGAAGGAGAGGCAGAAATTGTGTGAACAGGACAAAATTGAGACAATTGTTAGGCCAATTATTATACACTACCTCAAACCTGGTAGGAACAACAGAAGACACGTGTTACTTAGTCTAAATAATGTGTGGCAGGGGAGGGTGGGCATGTATGCAAGCAAGAGCTTAGCTCTTGATTTGGGTTTTAGAAGGAAGTAGAAAAGGATAATTATAAAAATTCACTAGATTGCTCTATTTTTTCATAAAAATAAGTTGATCCTAGTGTTTAAATCTAAGCCAGGTTTTTTAGAGAGAAGGTACTGTTTAAATGAGGATATTCTTACAGGAGCATCCATTCTACACTGGTGTAATCTGAAAGCTGATTAGGAAAAATGATTTCTGAGCAACACACAGGAGACTGTCAGCAGTGGTGGGGACATGCAGCTAAAAATAAGTTTGCTAGATTCTTCTATTCTGATACTTTTCACATCATTATTGAGTATTTGCCTGCTGGCAGTAGCTATATTATATGGAAGGGGGAACCAAGTAGTTTCTACTTTTGATTCCTTTTTTCTACCTGGCATGGCGGGGGTATACCTCATGGCTGCGTCTAGACTGGCATGATTTTGCACAAAAGCGGCCACTTTTGCACAAAATCTTGCCATCTGTCTACACTGGCTGCGAGTATTTGCGCAAGAACACTGACTTTGTAATGTACAAAATCAGTGGTTCTTGCACAAATACTCTGACGCTCCCACTCAGAGATAAGTCCTCTTGCGCAAGTATTCTTGCTCAAGAGGGCCAGTGTAGACAGCAACGTTAATTTCTTGTGCAAGAAAGCCCTATGGCTAAAATGGCCTTCGGAGCTTTCTTGCGCAAGAGAGCGTCTACACTGGCATGGATGCGTTTACACACAAGTACACGCCAGTGTAGACGCTCTCTTGTGCAAATACTTTTAACGGAAAAACTTTTCCGTTAAAAGTATTTGCGCAGTCATGCCAGTCTAGACACAGCCTAGGAGTTGGGGAGTGCAGGTTCCAGTCTCTAAACCTAAGCAGACAAGAGCGACCCCACACATTCACTCTGGCTATTTCATCGCCCCATCAGCTGGGAGCCACCTGTAGTTTCGGGTTCCTTTCAGCACCAGGGACCAGAAGGACAGGAGCTGACAGTTGGAACAAACTCTAATCTCCCGCGTACACACACGTCTGTTTCAGTCCTGGACCTCTGCCTTAGGCCTGTCATGGGCAGAGATTAAATGCATGTACCCAGAGGTGTCTGAACTCTTCATTATTCCACTGGGGCTCAACTCCCAACTCTTATCCAGACGTCAATGCACAGGCATTCAAAGGAGCTGGGCTTTCTATTTCCACCACCCACTCTACTGTACTGGAACACACGTTCCCCTTATAAAACTATATAGTCTCAGCCAAGAGCTTCTTCTCCTGCTTGATACCAGACTTCAGGCACCTTGAAGATTATAAACCAGTTTATAGTTTGAATATATAGCAGTACATATTTAAAAAATGAAGTTTAAACTGGCCCTAGGGCCTGCTTCAGACAAACGTTTAGACAGAGCAGACTGGAGAAGTAAGTAGCGTAGAAGCCACAAGCAGCTCTCTTGAATCAACCCAGTAAAGAAAGTAGAATCACAGCCCTATGGTGTTCCCAAAGCTTGAATCCACCCCAGAGAAAGAGGAAAGCATGGTGGTTAAAGGCACAGAACAGGGCATTAGTCAACATGAGTTCTACTCCAGCTGTTTGAGTTTGGAATAATCACTTACCCTCCGGTTTGCAGATGTAACCACAGGCAGCATCAGAAAGGGCTCTGAGCACTAACGAGTTCCAGGAAAAACACAAGTGCCATTGAAAGTGTAGTTCCTTGCTCTGCCAAACAGCGTCTCACTCTAACTATTTTTAGATCAACATCAGCAAAGACTTTAAAAAAGCTACAGTTAGAAGCAGAGACCTAGAAGAGGGGTCTGGTATCCCTGCAAAGAACCATCCATACAGAGTTGCTAAATGCAGTGTTTGCATTTTCAGAGCAGCCAGCGCAATTCAGAAAGTGAAAGATCTGCTTGGTAAGGATCATATCCCAGAACAGGTACCACAGAGTCCCCTTACAGTTAAACCCACTTGTACACACAGAATGCTAACTCTGTCAATCTGAATATAAACCCAGAGAGTACACAGACTGTTAGGCAAACTCAGTAGCTCACTTTATTACTTTATTAGATTATTCAGAGAGTGCCCCATGTACACACTTTACAAAATATTTTTAAAAAATCTTATTCCAAGCCACGTACAAATGACAGTCCCTCACCACCGACAAAAATAAGTTGGTTTTATTTACTTTAGAAAAAAGGTTACTTCCAAAGAGGAAAATAAATCTGGCCCTAAAAAGAAAAAAAAAAAAAAAAAAAAAAAAGCAAGCTTCCTCTAGATGTTGCAACTATAAAAACTTACTTCACTGCTCTCTTTAGAGATCAGCATTGCACTTTTGTAAAAGTGCAGTGGACTTGTACAGCACTCAAGAGGCAGCAATTGGCATCGGAAAAAGAGTTCAGAAAAAAGGTAACTAAGTTGCAGGTTGCAGCCATAAATAAATTGATGAGTGAATGACTGCTCATTTGCAAAGAGCTGGCACATTCCAGTCAAGCTGGAAGCCTCCAGGAGTTGCTTCCATCACTGCTGCTGCATAACACAGAAATGAAACTCTTGCCCAAGTTAGGAGGAAGTCTAGGTCTGACTCTTCAGCATGGAGCTCGGAGAAGCATCTGGCTAGACTATGTTCATGCTTTGACATTTTCTCTTTTCTGTATTTCTAATCAAGATTTAAATCGAAAAAGTTTGTTGCATAGATATTCCAGAAAGTCCTTCAGTCACACCCACATTAAAGATGAGGGGCAGATTCCAGTCTCAGTGGCACTACTGATTTCACAGAGTTCCTCTAAAATTACAGCAGCAAGACTGAACAAGCAATGGCCCCCTGGCTACTATCAGACATTTCTAACATGATCGAAGACTCAAGTCAGCCCAGCTCCCTTTTCCCTCATTCATTCCTCCATCAACTCCCAGACCAGTGACAGCACCACAGAGGATGATGCATTATGAAGGCACAGCTGATACTTAGGGAAATAGACCAGTTATAATGCAGAGAGGAGGAAATTAGACATTTCAGAAAAGGTGCTGCATAGTGTGCGTGTTTTTTTTTTTTTTTTTTTAAAGGACCCCAAGGTCTCAGAACACATGGTGCTTTGAGATGGTACAATAAAATATGCAGTTCTTCTGTATCAGTCACTATGTATGGCTGGCTGTCTTGGTCAGTCTGAGCTACTTTAAGCAAAATGAAACAGTAATACCTTTAATTTCATAAGGAGCTCAGAACAGCCAAGAAGATAGTCTTCAGGAAACTGAAAAATACTTTAAAAAAATTCTAAATGAGTAGGAAGACCTCCCCCGCCACTTTGGTATAAAGGTGTTTCAAACTTACACCTTTGAGCTGCAAAGACTTTTGATTTCCCATGTGTCCAGGCTTCAGTGCTAACATACATATCTTCGAGCAGATGCCACCCAGCAGAGTTAGCACAGCTCTTGGGACATGAGATGATGACACAATTACTCTTAAGTAGAGTATTAATAAGGACCCATGTCCGGAAGATACAATCTGAGCATAAAATGTGGCACACAAACCAAAGGAAGCAAAACTGCTACCACATGCTGTTCTGTGATCAGTCACGTAAGGGGTAGGAGCATATCAAGGTGCTCGTACTTTATGGCAGCTCTGTCCCCATGTCAAAATTGGCTGCATCAGAAACAAAAGATTCCCTTGGTACTTTGTTGACTGGAACGGTACAAGGAGACTGGCCACAGTCTGGACTTGGGACTTCCTTATCCAAGCCTAGGTTCTGCCACTCTGGGGAGTCTTACCTCCTACCCAGTACGATGGCAAAATTCATTTGTGAGAATTAAACAGAATTGTAGACAGTCATGGTGCCAACTGGCGTGTGCTGGGAATGGTGAGAGAAAGAGAACCTGATTCACAGCAGACATGGGCAAAAAAAGGTAGACAGAACTTGAGATCGGACTGCCCTATCTGCCCTGCATGACCAACCCTAGGCAGGAAACCAGGAGTACATGAAATAAGTTGTGACATGTCTTTGCAAGGCCTTTGCTTACAAAGTATAGGCATCTCTTCTGGAAGAAGTTAGTTGATATAGCTACAAGCCAGCTGGAGCTGTCAGTTGCATCTTCCCCTCTCACCAATTTAAGATCCAGACTGCCTGGGTATTTGCCAGTTTTAATCCTTTCAAACCAAGCTTTGAAGTAAGTCATTTGGGCTACAAAGTTCTGGCTGGCTAATCTACACACCCCAAAAACTCACTGCATCTCCTAACTCCAGCTTCCACACAGCTCCAAGGGCTGATAAAAGTTTGTTCTAGAAGCAGTAACCCCCATGCAGATGGCACATGACAACTCCGGATATCTCAGTGTGTTAAACTGAGCAAAGCCATTAACCTCTCCCCACTTCTCCTTCCCATGTCACCTCTCTTAGGGAGGGCGAGAGTTTTAGGCTGGCTTCACAGTGCAGCTGTGATGCTGCACATGGCCATGTACTGCAGCCAGGCTGGAGTCTTAGATGCTGTCCCCACAGGACTGTGGGGGTGCAGTAAGTGCTACAGAGCGACTAGGAACCTGAAGGGGAGCTGTGCCATTAAAAGCAACTCCCAGAACAGAAGAAAAGCAGACAGGGAGGGAGGAGCCCAGCTAGTCCTCCAGGGTTTATACTGGGAGGAAAACCCAGGGAGATGGAGACCACAGTAAAAACACAGCTAACTCTGCTTTGTGTTTTGTAAGAAAACCATCTGAAGCCTTGTAGGCCTTATGGGTCCAGGAGACCAGGGCAGCATCACCCAGTGCAAATGCTGAAACTGCACCCAGCCGCTGCCCTATCACAGAGAGGAAGGAGGTAGCCATGGAGAACAGGAATATTTAAATAAAACACCTTGAACAGGGTTAGAGAACCCCTAACCTCTCATGTCCATAGCATTTATTGCTCTGATCTGGGATCGGACCCAGCACAGGCACCAGGTTTAGCCACACAGTAAAGAGCTCAGCAGATGGCACGAATAGGATCATGAGCACAGCTCTGCCAGCCTCCCTGGCAGGAAGCATCAGTGTAGTTCTTCTGGCAGAGTGAGCCAGCCCCAGGAAAGGCTGCCTCTGCTCATAATCAAGCTGATCTCCCACAGAGAGAGACAGAAGTTGCAGGAGGCCATATTTCTATCAGGCAGAACAGAGGGACCAGAGGGCACCGCCCTGAGTGAGGCTGGCGTGTCAGAGGGCCCCAGAAGTCCTGAGTTGCTTGTCCACAGCTAATCAAAGTAGAGCTAACACCAGATGCTTGCTGGCTCGCCCAGCCCCCGGCGTTAGGAGCACTCTGCCGAGGTGAAGGGAACAAACTTGGCAGGCTTGTTTGAGGATGCTGGAGTCTGACCGTTTGCCTCCTTACTCAGCTTGAAGAACATTTCCTGCTCCCGCTTCTTCTGGTTCAACTCCTCTTCCAGAGCCTTAATGCAGAAACAACAAACAAGGGTTGTATTAGGGGTCATGCTGTCACTGTATTGACAGCCCCTGCCAGTCACCCAGGCGCCAGCAACACGCACGCAGGGAACGTTACCTTCTTCCGTGGCCTCAGCATATCCCGCCAATCCTTCAGATGCTGGTTGTGGTTTTCATCCAGGGCCTTCAGCTTCTGGGTCTCATGTTCAACCAAGAGGTGACACTTCTCGTTCTATATAAAACAGCCAGTAAGTGGTGTAAGTAGTCTGTGGGGGGAGACTGTATGAAGGAAACACTCGATCGAGCCCCTGCCGGACAGACTACATGACCCATATGAAATGGAAACTTCTGTCCACCCCTGCTCACCTTCTGAGTTTGCACCACTTTTGCACTGAGCTCTAAATTAGGATCATATGTTTAAGTGTTCTCCACTATGGGCTGGGAGATTGCACCTTTAGTCAAACTTAACAACCAGTGTCCACAATCAATCAGATTTCTCTCAGCCACTGAGACCCCTCCCGCCGTACAGGCCTATTAGTGCTCTCCCCCACTCAGCCTTCACACCCGACGGCACACATGCAGCTTTGCCTCGGTGTGATGTTACCTGGAGCTGCTGCAGTTCATTCGCATTGCTCTCGCACTGGGCATTCATTTCCCTCATCTGGGACTCGTGTTTCTGCTGCTGCTGCAGCCGCTCTGCCTTTTGGCGCTTCTCTTCCTGCTTAGCCGACTGGAACA